GATGAAATTCAATTTTCTTCGAGCAACGGTACCATAAATGTCTCAAGTTAGTAAGCACCAACCGAGTTTTCTATATGCATGCTGGCACTTCACCCGTGATGCGTCCGCCGGGTGAAATATGGCTACCCAAATTACAAAATTTGTCTACGTAAACCTCAAAGCCATCTACTCAAGATCTATGGTCGCATATTTCCCTCATTTGCCATCACTTCCTCGTTAAGGCGGGACCTTTGAAACTGGCCGTGTCATTTTTTGCTATCGCTGGAGCTTTGGTTGTTTCATCACACACAACCTCTGGATATACTTTCTTATCAATTACGGTGACCTCAATGATAACATACAACGCGCTCAGTTTAATTTCCGTACGAGTATCCGTGGGATATATCAACGAACCGTCCTTACGTGCTTTTTCTCGTTTTGTGAGAAATAAGGTCAAAAGGATCACCAAAAATTCACATGGCAAACGGAAAAACATCGCGCTGGTTGGAAAGTTGCACTTGAGCACCGGAACCTGAAGAGCATCGGTTTTCCGATCACTTTGTCATCGAATGTCTGCTCAGTTCTTTCTAGGCTATCGGACATTGGTCTTCCGATTCACTACGGTGAGTACTCCAAAAGTTGTGGGCTACTTTACCAAGAATCTTGGTTACAAGAATCCGTCGAGGACGAATTGGTCCAGATTGAAGGCTTCCAATTATTTCGAGCAGATAGACCTCCAGGAAGGAAAACTAAAGGTGGAGGCGTCATCACTTATGTGCGCCGGTCGTGGTGTAACTCTACAAAATGCATATTTACTCGCTGCACACAAAACATTTCTTGTATTTCTATGGAATGTAAACCACGATTTCTCCTGCGTCACTCTTCGATCATCTTTTCAAACCTACACATCACTCCTGACTGTACTCCCAGAGAGTTGTCTACCTTCCTGGATGTATTCTATCAAATCATGCAGGAGAAATCTGTTACATCTGTATTCATCGGATGTGAGTTTTCACACACTTATGTCCCTACAGAACACTGTTACTTTTTCCACTCGAAATAATGCCTCCTTAGACTAATTTTTCGTTAACGAACCCTCTTCTTTCCGTGTCTTAAAACGTGCACCAGTAGGCAATTCCGATCACTGTCTGATTAAAGTTTTACCTACAATGTATGGTAAATGCAAGCAACAAATTCTGAGGAAGAACGATGCACGTAAGATACGTTTGCGACAAAATCATCTCAACTATTTTTATGCTGTGTGCTGCCCTCAGGAAAGGATTCATCTACAGTCCATCTCCGATAGACTGAAATGGTTACGAAAGCTGAAAGAAAAGGCGTATCGCTCGAGAGATAAACTGACGGTCAAATATGTCAACTTTCACATCAGAAGCGGGATAGCACATCTCAATTATGCTGACACCGTGCTAGGAGACAAATCCTGTCGTCATCTTTGGAACGGACTGAAGCTGATCTGTGGTCGTTCAACTTTACCTACTACAGTCTCATGTGATATCAATGAGCTCAACACATCTTTTGCTTCAGTGAAAAACGTTGTGCAAGCTTTACCGAGTCCAAACACAACGTCACTTGATTTCCATCTTCCTGTGTCTGTTACAATAGAGCAAGTTTTCAAGGAGTTAAATGCTGTCAATGGAAATAAATCCGCTGGTCCCGATGGGTTATGCCCAGTGGTTCTTAAAACATGCAAACCACCTCGCAGAAACCGTTTCATTCATTTTTAATACAAGTTTGTCAGAAGGAAGACTAGTTAACACAGGGCGTGATGTTTGCATCACTCTAGAAAGAACAGGGTAAGTTTCGGTATATTGCCTCATCTTCACTATTACTTAAGACTTTTGAGCGTATTATTATGAAGCACCTATCCTCTAATCCTGATTTTCATGATTCCAATCAGTTTGCTTATTGTAAGTGTCGCTCTCCTTTAGATGCAGTTGCTTGTCTTATACACTCTGTTCTATCCACCATAGATCAGAAACACAAAATTGTTCCCGTTTGTTTCTCGGACTACACAAACGCGTTTACCTCTGTCGACAGAAACATCCTATTGATCCTGTTACGGCGAAATAATCTCCCTCCACATCTTTTGAATTGGATGCACGACTATTTTACCGACCGACGCCAATTTACTTGTCTCAATGGTATTACTTACTCTACGGCTACGAGAGCTGACCCCTCCACGCAGAAGATGTACGAATATTAAGTGTCTTTGACCACCATTGCCTTCGTTACATCGCCGGAATACGTTGGAAACAGTGAATCACTAATGACAACGGTCGCCGAATAATCTTCGCCTCAGACGATCTCAGTCTTCCTCTGTGTGCAACCATCTCGCTCCAGAGACTTCAATGCCTAAGACATGTGTTGTGGATGCCAGCTTATGTTTGCACAAGCTGACACCAGCTGGAAGCGGCGATAAGCTGAAGTACGAATAACCTGGTCTTCAGCGATGAAGGCGTTAATTTGAAAACTGGTACTGGTGGGACGCTGTAGACTCCCAGGTTGGAGTCCCAAGGATAGCGAACATCCATGGCTTGAGATACTAGCGGACATGGCTGATAACCGGTGTCAATGGTACACCTGTTACAAGACTTATTCGTCGGTTTATATTTAACCCCTTTTTACATTTTTTTCATATGTTGTGACACATTTGTCAATTCAATGTAATTGGTACGTGTTGGTACTTTGAGGTCACGTGACGTGTGTTAGGATCAAGTAGCCTTCCACCGAGCAAAACTATTTCACTGGACCGCCCGAGGTGGCTGGGGCATGTCATACGAAATTCTGAGCCACGTCAGCCCCACCATGCGCTATCTGCAGACATTGGTCCGTACTGGAATAACAGTCAGGTAGGTAAGGTATGAAGTAGGTAGAGGGTTGAGGATCTGGCTTTCATTGGGGCTACCCAGTTTTCAGACTGGGACTCTAAAGATTCAGTGCCGTTGGCTGGAGACTGTGGGATCTGGCAACGAACTGAAGTCAGTGGAGTGAATGGACTCTTTTCCGTCTGCAATACCAAAACAATAAAGAAGTCGAAATCGCGTGCAGTAAACAAGCAAAAACAGTTTTTTCCCGTGCCTCAAACCGATTATTATTCTTTTTCTTTCCATATTTCTCTTTCAACTCTTGGTTATACTAATAGTTGATAATAATGCATGCATAATAGTTGTACAAGCCAACCTGAACTGAGTGATGTTAGCGAGTAATTTGAGGCACAGCGGCGAACGCCAACTTACTTGATCTGTTGTACGTCTGAGTGCAATCGTAAGTTGTGCTTATGTGTCCCCGGGCGATTTCACGACGTTTTTCAACTGGTAATTAACGATATTTTCTATTCTTCTTACCCCATCCATATACACAGGACCAGTCAGTGAACTTTGGTTCAGATCGTTCACGTTTTGTTGATATTCGCTTCACTGGGAAACGGTGAGTTCCACGGTTTGATTCCCCTTCATGGACTGGCTATCACACTCGTCCAAGAAAAGCTGTTTTAATAATTGAATGTTCCATATTATTTGAGCTCAATCAAATTGTGTTAGAAGTTTGGGTCATCAAGCGATGTCAAATTGCGCAGTAGGAAATAAATGAGAATGTCTTGTCACTACTTACCTGAGAGTCCCTCAAAATGTCCAAACTTCGCACTGAGGGAACATACAAAACAAACAATTACGTTCAATAAATCGATCATGCGTAAAATTTGATTGACCCAGTTAACTTGTCTCTCGCTAGAGAAAACTTATTTCCTTTGAATCGATGGATAATCGATTTTAACCAGTTACTGTTGCGGTGTAACGCACAAAATACCTGGGTCCATAAGATCTATTCGCTCCATCGGTGCTCTCCTATTTTCTTTCCTGAATAAATCTAAACTATAAATAATCCTGGATACGTAGTACTTCTTTTACGTTGACTCATGTAGTTTTGTGGCGCTTCCAGTGCTAGCGTGCACTGTTTTTCAGTAGTTTTTTTGATTGGAAATCGATACTGAATTCCTCGTTGCACATTATTCAAAGGTGAGCAGGGAATCACAATACCTGTTTTTTGCTTCTATCAATTTTTTCTCACATCTTATTATCAAAATTCGATTCTTCAGGAAGTGCTCTCGATATTTTTAAGTGCATCGGACACAACTCACACTTGAGAAAGGCGTTTATATATAAGTTTAAACCGATTAGGTTGTCTCTGTTCGGTTTGCAGAACAAAAGTTTGATACAGATCAATCATAAAACCAAAATTGATGCAGTAAAACAAACGATCAATCCAAACGCTTTCCAACACATCCTTCTTCTTTCGAAACATTTTCCTAATGATCCTGATTAGTTTTTCCGTCCGCTTCGTGTTCGGGATGGGAATCGCGCTGTCATACCCTGACGTTGGTATTTCTCGGTGCGGTTCTTGTACACTGATTTCGACATCCTCCTGCGTAGTATTTGGATCTTCTGTTTCTTCGTCTTCGTCGCCATTCTCTTCCATTTTCCTCAAATGAACTCTATTTCTCCGTATTACCCGTGGACGACAGCCTACTATGTAAGATTTTTTTGTTGCTCGCTGTATCCCTTCACCCACACTTTTCGGTTCCCGTGGTTGTACCCAAACCGTGTCTCCTGATCTGAGTGAGCACAGGATTACTACCACAGTCGTAGTACCTTTTCTGTATCGGCATGCGTTTCCTGACCCTTGACTGAATGACTATTGATGGCGCAGTCCGTGGCTGTAGTAACTCGTCGCAAATTGGTAGAACCGTGCTTGTGCGTCTGCCCATTACACGTTCAGTTTCAGTTTGAACAACTATTAACCATGCACTTTCGTGCGCCGATTGTGGTTGCTGTCTTTTGGTTGCCCATTTGGATAAGTGATCAGAATGAACATTGAAATGTTGACAGCAGATTCAAACGGGAGATGAGGAATGTATAAAGATTGAAGTTACAACGATAATGAGTAGATGCATGAACGCCACTGTTTGCGACACCCAGCCATATCACTCAGTGTCTCTAACCATCGGTTACGA